AGCAAATGAATCTAATGTTGACAATATTTGACTACCAATTGAGCGTCTCCCCTAATGACGTGTAAAATAAATAATTGTTATTAAACATCAACTTCTCTGTTACTTTTATATGTGTGTACATTACATGCTGAAATTAAATGCATGCTACCTTACACAACACCTTTATTTAGTTTAAATAAAATAAACAAAAACCTGTCTCATCAACTTTGGGGAATACCTGAGATGCATTCATACAGATCATTATCATTAATATTCCATCTAGCTATTTACTATCGTAAAGGATAGTAGTATGTACTTGTAAAATATGATAACAAAGAAAGAAGCGTCAGCACTAATCACTAATAATCAGTAAAAGGTGTTTATTTTATAATGTTGGTTACTTTTGGCATAAACTTGGCAAATAGAAAAATTATCATTAAAATTTTCAGCAAATCCGTTTTTAAGACATTTTATGAGTTACAGCAGTTTTTAGAATATTTTGATACTAACTTCTTCATCATAATGAGATGGATCTGTTTCATTTAAAAATTCATCAAAAGTTTTCAAAAGTAACTACAGAGGAAAAGACAATAGAATAAATGAATAAAAGTCACTCACTTGTCCAAATTCCTCAGTAGTAGCAGCATTCCTGGCATTACTGGAAACTATAATATCTAACAATACAACTATTTGAACAGCAGAAATAGTACTAATACTGTTTGAAAGAGAGTCAAGTGCATCATAAGGAGATGATGACGCCTATGTTAATGTATAAAAAAGCTAATTAATATTATGTGTACAATACTTACCAGTGATGCAATAGCCTCAAAATTTTCATTCGCAAAACAGATAACAGGATCCCAGTTCCCACTTTCATTACAGTGCCTAGTAGCTATTTAAGAAAGGAATATTAATTGTAAAAATAATAAAAGTTTAACCGACCATTAAATAGTCCTTTGTGACAGGTACTGGTGGCATCACGTCCAGCTGGTGTTGGTGGCCATGAATCATCAAGAGGGCAATGTAAGCAAATAGGAGATGGAGAAACACAGATAAGTTGTGATGATTCCAGAGGAGTGGGAATTAAATTAGTAGAGGGAAAAGAAGATAAATAAATATCAGAAGAAACAAAAGCATCATGAATTGTTGAAGTGCTTTGAAAGATTGAAGGTGAAGGTGTCATAATAATGTTTGACAGTAAATATTGAGTTGTTAAAGTACCAGCAAGAGTACTCTTGGTACTAGTCATACAACTTGATGTTGGATATGGAGTTATAGTAGTCATGAGAGGACATTTCATGACAGTAGAAGTCATCGTAGCACACATACTATTAGCATGAGTACTAATTCTACATTCTAAACTTGAATGAGAAGTATGAATTTCATTAGATGCTACACAAGACCCCAATTTACAAGGATCTGGATTACTGCAATTATAAATGTTTTCACCAGTACCATATAGAAACACAACATCATAAACTTTTATTTGGCAAGTTATTCCTTGATGCCATTGAAGATAAAATTTTTCTAAATTTAGCATCTTAGAAAGTTTAAATTTAGCACCGGCAGAATTTCTAGGAAGCTCGGCAAGACCTAAAAGTGACACAGTTTGGGTTGAAACTTGATCTACAAAGTGGCACTAAGACTTACAGCAATATGAAGGAGTGAAAGAATTCTCCTTTTTTGCCACACAAAACGTCACCTGCCTCATGGTCATCTCTGCAGAATACTCACAATTATCTTCGATCTCGAACTCAATGGTCAGATTATAACAGTTAGTTACATAAGTAAGAGACAAAATCAGCAACACAAGAGGCAAGGAGAGCATAGCTAGCTGCAAGTTCAAGTTCAGCAACGATGGGTGGGGCCCAAATTATACTCGTAGGTTAGTTTATTAGCTAGATATTTTACCCCTGTATAATTACACATCCTTTCAGAATCTCAAAGAATACCATTGATTCTTAGTGTATTGAAAAAGATAAAAATGACACTATAATTTAGTCCGTATCTCAACTCTGTCTTTTAGTGCTTTCCATGCTCTTTCAACCTATAAATCAAGTCTTTAAGTAATTTTATTCTTGGTCCTTACTTGTACTCATACTCCCACAGTGTGCAAAAAACAACATGAGCATGATCTACAGCCTCACGATTACTCATCTTTGATGCTATCCTTTGTCTTGCCCTCTCCTCATCAGCTCCATCTCTCTTCATCACACGCTTCACAGCCTAAAAGAAGAAACAATCACTGGAACACCTCCAGCTGATATCCAAGGCTTGCCTCTTCAACAGGAACAATGGAGATCCAGACCTCATTCAGTCCAGTGTCCCATTTAGCTCTAAGCAGTACAGTAGCATCAAGAACACACACCATGTATCCTTTATTACAATGAGAATGAGTCAGTGTACGTTATGTTTTATACCTTCCTTTCTAAGGCTTGTTATTCTCCAATACAACGTGTATAGAAGAAATGTAAGTGTGGACATACAAATAAATATATATATATATAGCGCGACGGTGAATTCAATTATAGAATATAATTAATACAGAAGTCTTTAGACTTGTTAATTTTACTAAAAGTAAAATTAACAAGAAATAGACACACAGGAATTTCTTCCTTTAAAATGTATTACACATAAGCATTGTGTAACTTTAACAAGGAAATTATCCTACTATGATTAATGTCATTAAACTATGCCAACACTATTAATGAATTATGCCTAATTCAATCTAGTCTTAAGCCTAGTACACAATATCAGCCTTGCAACCGGAAGTGCTGTACAAACC